GTCTTTTCCTGTTGTGCTGAATGTTAACTAATGGGTTGTCTCGCTCGATTGCAAGTGCACTCGGCTCACACAGTCACGTTCACGGCTTCATCCCCGGTACGATTGGAAATAAGACACGTGCTGTTCATATTCACCTATCAGTAAAAAAGGTACCTGGGTGTTAGTCGACTGGTGTGGGTCGCATCCTGGGGCGAAATTTACCTAATTTGACCAAAATGCTCTGCATAACAAGGGGCTTTCTATATAGTAATATGTCATTGATGTCAGCTAGGCCTGTATACCTTGTACATGTACTTGTAGAAATAAAAATTATCATAGTGTGGTGGTCAAGTGTAAGGGTGACTGGGCGGTGTTCGGCAGACGGAAGTTCTTCCTGGGAAGGCTGTAGGGAAGAAAAATTAGTTTATACACTTTTTTTTATATTAACATTGGAGATTGTTCCACACTAAAATTTGTAGATTTATCATACTTAAACTTCAAGTTTTTTCATCTTACAAGATGCTTTCTTTTACGTTCTCTAATTTCTAAATCAGTTAAATTGTTCACATCACGCTAACAGGCCGAACGCATATATCAGCATAGAAAAAAAATAACATTTAGACCGGTCGATCTAAATGGTTTACAAACATGGGTTGTAGAAGCCAATATTGGAACAATGTTTGACTCTTGTGTGGGAGTTCTGAAACCTGTGTTGTTTCCTCGCCAACCCGAGTGCTAGTGACCCAGGCTTCACTTCACACTATCATGAACTACATTACTGTTATAATCAAAAAGAATGCTGGCAGGTCTACTAGCAGGATGAAGAGCACGTAACCCGGACTGGAAGCCAGCAGCCGATCAAACTTTATTTAGTCTTAGTACTGAAAAAAAAAAACACGGTATACAAACGCAAGGACATTTTATTGTCAAGCTTACGGTCCTGGGACCTTGGTCGGTCATGGGACCTTGGTCGTTCCAAATGCAGCAAGTGACCGAGGTCTCGGAACCAAAACTTTTCCAATAAAATCTTTTCTCCAATAACTTGTCGGTATCACATAAATTTTTTATTAGTCGTATTCTTGACATCATTAGTTGAAGATTCTTCTGAGTGGTTACTCAGAACAGTTATTAACGGCTCCCCCTCCAAAAAAAAAAAAATCAAGTGGATCCCATAAAAAAAAAAAAAGAAAACTGCCAAAATGTGACCTACAGCAGTCTACATCCACTCCCAAGTATCTATTTACTGCTAGGTAACATGGGAAGCAGGTTTTAGCAGTCGTTCACACGTCTGGCCTTACCTAACACGAAACATCGGCTTTATTGTTCGTATTGTTCGTATGCTGGGTTGTCTGTATACCTAGAGTATACCTGGAGAGGGTTTTGGGGGTCAACGCCCCCTCGGCCCAGTCTGTGACCAGGTCTGTAGGGATGGTTTTTCAGTGTAAAGAAATGGTGACCTGGAGAAAGTGGATGAAACGGCTTACTGCGACAAGCATCAAGACTGGTGAAGCTTTTAATGGAGAAAAACGTTTCGCTCTGTGGTGAGCATTATCAAATGATCTTGACAGATATGATTTGATAAAACTCGACACAGTCATAAGTTGCAACAATGAAAGGATATCCTGCAACCTATCTTTGAAAATTAGACACATGTGCAACATCTGGGTATATTGTAAACGTTTCGCCATCCAATGGCTTTATCAATACAAATTCAAGGACATGAACGGAATACAGAAGAACTATATACAACAGATGAGGTAATCAGTCCCTCAGCCTTGAAGTTGGTGTTAAGAGCACCTTAGTCGTGCTCACGTAGTCACAACTACGGTGCTCTTCACACCAACTCTAATTCATGTCCTTGAATCTGTATTGATAAAGCCACTGGATGGCGAAATGTCTACAATAAAGATACCCAGATATTGCACATGTGTCTAATTTTCATCTTGTCGGTATTGTATACCACTCGTATACAACCTTTGTCTTTCATGCGATAAATCGCTCCTGTCTGTCTCAACTACTGGATCACTACGACAAGGTCCTAAATGCACTAGAAGACAAAAAGAATGCAGATGTAATATATACAGACTTTGCAAAAGCCTTCGACAAGTGTGACCATGGCGTAATAGCGCACAAAATGCGCGCTAAAGGAATAACAGGAAAAGTTGGTCGATGGATCTATAATTTCCTCACTAACAGAACACAGAGAGTAGTCGTCAACAGAGTAAAGTCCGAGGCAGCTACGGTGAAAAGCTCTGTTCCACAAGGCACAGTACTAGCTCCCATCTTGTTCCTCATCCTCATATCCGACATAGACAAGGATGTCAGCCACAGCACCGTGTCTTCCTTTGCAGATGACACCCGAATCTGCATGACAGTGTCTTCCATTGCAGACACTGCAAGGCTCCAGGCAGACATCAACCAAATCTTTCAGTGGGCTGCAGAAAACAATATGAAGTTCAACGATGAGAAATTTCAATTACTCAGATATGGTAAACATGAGGAAATTAAATCTTCATCAGAGTACAAAACAAATTCTGGCCACAAAATAGAGCGAAACACCAACGTCAAAGACCTGGGAGTGATTATGTCGGAGGATCTCACCTTCAAGGACCATAACATTGTATCAATCGCATCTGCTAGAAAAATGACAGGATGGATAATGAGAACCTTCAAAACTAGGGAGGCCAAGCCCATGATGACACTCTTCAGGTCACTTGTTCTATCTAGGCTGGAATATTGCTGCACTCTAACAGCACCTTTCAAGGCAGTGAAATTGCCGACCTAGAAAATGTACAGAGAACTTTCACGGCGCGCATAACGGAGATAAAACACCTCAATTACTGGGAGCGCTTGAGGTTTCTAAACCTGTATTCCCTGGAACGCAGGAGGGAGAGATACATGATTATATACACCTGGAAAATCCTAGAGGGACTAGTACCGAACTTGCACACGAAAATCACTCACTACGAAAGCAAAAAAACTTGGCAGACGATGCACCATCCCCCCAATGAAAAGCAGGGGTGTCACTAGCACGTTAAGAGACCATACAATAAGTGTCAGGGGACCGAGACTGTTCAAACTGCCTCCCAGCACACATAAGGGGGATTACAAACAGACCCCTGGCAGTCTTCAAGCTGGCACTGGACAAGCACCTAAAGGCAGTTCCTGATCAGCCGGGCTGTGGCTCGTACGTTGGTTTGCGTGCAGCCAGCAGCAACAGCCTGGTTGATCAGGCGCTGATCCACCAGGAGGCCTGGTCACAGACCGGGCCGCGGGGGCGTTGACCCCCGAAACTCTCTCCAGGTAAACTCCAGGTAATACGTAATAAACCCTGTATAGAAATGTTTTATAATTAAATTTATGTCTTGTGGTGCTTGACTCTGGCGATACAGTATTCACCGAGTAAACGTTAAAGGACACGTAAGTATCCGTCTTCTAATAACATGTTAATTTTTCCACTATAATATCTATAAGCTCAGACTTGTGAAACACAATTATCCTCAAAGATTTGTTAAGTTAGGTTATGAATTAAGGAAAAATCTCGGACTTACGAAAGCAGACAAAGCAAATGTGATAGTAATTATACACAAAGTAGATTATAGTGTAGATTATATGCGTCCTATGACTGTGTGACACGATAATGTGCACTGTTAGACATGATTATAATAAGTGCAGTCACTCTGTTAGGTCGAAAATGCATGTAATCTTTTAAATACAACAAATGCATGTAATGTGTTAGCCAGTGACTAATCAGTAACAGATCCAGCATTTGTAGATGCATTCTCTATTCACACTATTTTTGCACTGGCTGCAGTGTTTCAGGACTTGTGATGCTTCTGTAATATAGCGATAAGAATAAAGGCATGAACTTAAAAATTATTTACGTTTAAATGTTTTTAGTTTTCTAATATAACTGCATGAAGCAGAATTTTTCAAGATCCGCGTCCATGGCTCCAAATACCTTACTAGTAGCCAAAACTAGTAGAGAATTGACAAAAGTTGCAGAGCTTCTATTGGGACAACATTTCGCTCGGTGGACAGTGAAACGTTGTTTAATTGAAAGCTTATTCTACAGCCTTTGTCTTTTTTCCATTTTATGACTTCGGGATTTTTTCCTGCAAAGTGTATGGGAAACATGATAATTTCTGAAGAGGCCGACCTCCTTAAGCGTCGCTATTAACACCTCAATGAGCTATTAAATTTGCTGTATATTACTTTATTTTTTTTATATAAAAATTATAAAACAACTTCCCAGTAACAAGGAGGATCATATCTTGAAATAAATATCTTTGTAATATTTGAGACTAAAGAAATAATTGTTTAATATATATATTAATGTGTGTCACTATATGTTAAGATGCAACTAATGTATTTTTTTCCCACCTAGAATCATTTTCTTTTTTCATTGTGTAATATATTTGGATTGTAAATATTCCTCTGCTTTATAAACTTGTCTTTGGTAATTAGTTAAAAATCTTGTGTTTTGACAATCTGTAATAAAGTGTTTTTAATGCTACAAATTTTAAGCCTAAATTTTAGATTACAAATGTTTTTTTTCTCTCTCTCAAAACATCATTTCTCTTAAATTCTCAATTCTCATCTTTCCTAGTCTACAACCCTCCCAAATTCTTCTCCTCCCAAGTTTCTTCTCAAAAATCCCACCATTCTTGAATTTCCTGTCAAATTTTTCTCAAATTTGTCCTACAGCATTAATTAACCATTTTCTTTTCATGACCTTAGCAAATGTAACAACTTTATGCTTAACTTTCCCAGTCATTCAGCAGTGTTTTCCTGCCGTTTCTTTATTAACATTCACTTTTTTTAACTAACTTTTCTCCAGCTACCCATACAACTTTCTTCAACTATTCAAGCAACTTTCTCCAACCACTCATTTAACTTTCAGCAACTTTCTTCAACCACTCATACAACTTTCAGAAACTTTCTCCAACTACTCCTTCAACTTTCAGCAACCCGACAAGTTACACGTGACCTTCAGGTAATATCGCTTACCCGTACCACAGACTCGGACAAGACGGTGACGGTGAGTCGGGAGTCGGGAGAGTTCGGCTTTCGGATCCACGGTTCCCGACCGGTGGTGGTATCGGCCATTGAACCCGACACCCCAGCCGAAACCTCCGGTCTGGAGGTGGGAGATATCATCATCAACATCAACGGTGCTAATGTACTCGACGCCTCCCACTCTGAGGTGGTCAGACTCGCCCATGCTGGTAAGTCTTCAATTTCCTCCTCCAAGAATGACATTGAGCGTCTCGTCCGATTGGCCTCAAATTTTCAGTGCTGGTTTGTTATAACTAAGGAAGGGTTCGTACGAGTATTGGCATGTACAGGTGCCATATCAAATACAAATTTTATGTCTTTGTAAAGGTTAGAATGTGTGATTTACATTTTATGAAGTGTTGCTAATTTATAGTGCCTTTCCTTGTTTAGGAATACTCGCAATAACTTGAGAATGGCTCTTTTAATCGGCTTCAAACCATCAATACTGGTGCATTTTATGCAGATTATAGGGATGTGGTAAACCTGTGGAAAATACTGTATATATTTTCCAGAAATTCAGCATTTATATGTAAATAGATGGCCATACTGTATTTAATAATATTTATGTCATAGAAAACGGAAAGCCTGCGTCTGCGCAGACGAGACTCGCCATCTTGGTTTTGAATTTTGTACAAACGTGGTGTAATGGGAAGAATTTTTCGTGCTCTAGAGGTTAAAATTGTGTTGACACCTCTCAAATAAGAGGCGAAATTGGTGGATGTGCATTCCTGCATAACTTGAGATATCAGACGACTGGACAAGAGAGCTCCAGGAACCTCAGATAAGCTCTCTAGATTTGTGTGTAATTCTGGCCAGCATTATTTTCATAGATTTAGTTAGAATGAGGTTTTCTGAGTATGATGCACATTAATCTCCAGTCAAATTGGTGAGTGATATTAAGATATATTTTCCTTCTGTTATGTAATTGTGTATATATATAACCATTTATTATTTTTAATATACAGTCCACAAATTTATATATTTACCAGTATTCCTGGTGTATGTATATTTCATTTAATTAATAGGTCCAGATTATTATTATTATTATAATCAAAAAGAAGCGCTAAGCCACAAGGACTATACAGCGCTAATAATAGGTCCAGAGCAACTTGTGGTTATGACAGTGGTAGGTATCGAAGGGGGACATTTTTTGCGACCTAGGTGTCCCAAATTCCTACTTGTCTATGTAACATTGATAAATAATATTTATCTTTGTTATCATTTACTGTTATTTACATAATTAGTTACATTCAGATAAATGCAATTTTCCACAAAGCCCTTAGGGACTATACAGCACCTGAGGAAGGGGATGGAGAGCATTCAGGGTTACTTGGAACTGGAGCACAAAGAGTAAGTTTATTCAGGTACAGGTAAATATAAATACAGTTACATTATCTTACATAGCAACATATGTGTAGATTACCTAAGATAACCCAAAAAAGTCAGTGACTTATTTCCATTTTGGTCCAATTCTCAAGATTAAGAGCCCCTCACAAGTATCAAGGAACCCCCCCTTGAGGGGCGTGATAAATTGAAAATGGCTTCTTCGATCGGCTTCAAACCTTCAATTCTTGTGCATCATAGTGGTGGTGGTTTGATGTTGTTGCTCGAGTGTAGGTAATACAATTTTCAAGTTTTCAAAGGAACGTTACATTGTGTAAGGAAGGTTACATTGTATAATTACAATTTTCTTTGCTAAGTACAAAGAAAGACACAATCATGCCGAGGCATTTCGGGCAGACTAATACTAGTACATAATAACTGCTTAAATCTAGACAAGATAAGAGTGGTTAACTTTTATTAAAATCTTCATTTAATCTTAATATTAATGCGTAGTAGTCAAAGTGGAGGTTTATAAGAATAATCTTGAAGTTGCACATAATAAAAACAATATTACAATAAGTGGTTCAAACAGTAATATTTCATGGATTGGCAGATGTTTAAGACTCGAGGTCTTATAATAACTTATTAGTTGTTTTGGTTAGTATTGAGATGAGATGATTTTTAAGCAAAGACCTAAATTTATAAGTAGTCAGGGTATCCTTTACCGGTTCAGGTAGTGAATTCCAGATCTTCAGGCCCTTCATATGCATTACATTTTTGCAGAGTGTGAGGCTGACACGAGGGATGTCGACGAGTGCCTTATGCCTTGCATTGTGACTGTGTTCTGTTGTAGCTATCAAAAAGTTTAAGTGGAGGGTTTATATTGGAGTTTAATGTTCTGTATAAGTAGTAGGCACAATAACATGAATGTATGTCTCGTGTATTTAGCAAGTTCAGGCTTCTGAAAAGTGGTGGGTGTGCCGTCTAGCACAGGATGTTTATGGAGCAACGTGCAATGTGAACAGACTGACTGATGTTGTAGTGGCCAGGCTTAGTCTTGGTTACAAGTACTTCTGGCAGTTTGGGAGATACACAGATGATGATCAAACTAAATGTAAATTATGTGATCAGGGATATGGTCACTCTCTTGAACACTATGTGCTTAATTGTCCACTTATTGAGGAATACAGAGACAGACAGTATAATAACCTATGTGACATGTCAAGATATCTTATTAATGAAAATAAGATACCAGATATACTAAGCAAATTTCCTAAATTTGCTTGCAACAGATAAGTGAACTATAGATATGTAGATATAAATCCATATGTATTCCTGTTAACCCTTTGGGGCCTAGTTCCTAGGCCTTTTGTGTATCCATATGCTCTCGCGCTACCGTCCACAGGATGGATATGGGGTGCACAATAAACTAGCCACTTCGGTGGCAAAATCTAATCTAAATCTAGCACAGGAGCTGGTAATCATCCGCACAGCAGCTTTTATTTTGTTGTTGGGCTATTAAAGGTTTAGGGAGATGGCTGTGGTTGATCCCCAGGCACAGATACCATTTACCTGGAGTGGGTTTCGGGGGTCAACGCCCCCGCGACCCGGTGAGGTAAGGATATATTAACAAGTGGTATAGGGTAAAGAGTGTCTTTTGGGGTACATAGTATCGTATCTTGGAAAGGATGCCTACTGATTTGGAAATTTTCTTGGATATATGCTGGATGTGGGAATGAAATTTAAGATTCCAGTCAAGGAGAAGACCTAGAGATTTACCCTCAGTGTGTCTTGATATAGGGGAACCATTTATCGATATATTAAGTTGGATATTTAAGGCTCTGTTTCCAAACAGCATAAAGTATATTTTGTCTGTGTTGAGAGTGAGTCTGTTGGTCATCATCCTGGTATATATTTTTAGCAGCTCGTTGTTTACAGTGTCTCTAAGTATAGCTGGGTTTGAGTGGGAGTAGACATAAGTTGTGAAAATGTGTCTGTACTGCCTCCAAGTGAGTCGCCTACCCTGGCAAGCTCTGTTGACACCGAGCTCTGAGGTCGGTATCTCAGCCTCACAAGTGGCTTATAGGACAGATTTTCATAAATGACTGATGTTGCAAGAAACCTCGCCTGCATGCACGTTTAAAGGACTAACTTACTTGGTGTTGCAGCATATATCCTGATCTTCAACCTCCCTAAGCTTAGCCCCTTTGGACTTACCCTCAGAAACCACGTGCAACCTGGAGCCATAATTCCTGCAATTTTCAATCGATATTAGTGACCTGTCTGCACCTCAGAAATTCCTGTATCCAAGAGGGTGTGTATCCCCTAGTATAACTATGCAGAAATGGACACTAGCTTCTAGGTAGGCAAGAGACAAAATCACGTACTGGTCATTAACTGCCGGCTGCACAAAGGCCACAGCTCGACTCGCTCGCAATTTTCCCCAGACACTGGCCAGAAATCCTAAGAAAAAGTGGAGGTTTTGTCTTACTGTATGGGCCTGACAGAGGTCATCTACGGTACATTGGGGTGCCTCCACCAGATTTCCCCAGGTCTCATATGTGAAGACACGTGGGGGGCGCCGTCTGCTGATCACGGCACGTGTTGTCCAGATGGTGTCTAGTCATAGAAGAAAGATCTGGCGTCTTCGAGACCCGCGCCTCGTCGTTCAAACTTGGGCTGCCAGTTCTCCCTAGCTAACTTAACCTAGTGTTTGCCTACATTATCGGCCTATTACTACCTATGTTAAGGTCTTAGGTCTACATTATTATTATCTACAGTTGCCTCAATAATCCTAATATTAGTGTACTAACAGTATAAACTACCTACTTCTTCCCTGAAGGGTAAATCTATAAATTAAGTAGTACCTTGGGTTATCCTGGGTGGCTAACCCTCCGGGGTTAAAAATCCGAACGAAATCTTATCTTATCTTATCTTACCTTCCATCCACTTACGCCAACCCGGGTGAGTGTGTTTTTGTTTTGGGTGGGTTTAAGGGCCCTCGAACGGTGTGTTTTTCCCTGTTGGGACTTCTCGGACCGAATAAGTTCCAACATAAGTAGTGTCATCTGCGAATAGAACTGGTTTAAGGACTTGGGATGCATTGGGAAGATCATTGATGTAGATGAGAAAAAGGAGTGGACCTAGGACACTACCCTGGGGCACTCCGACAGCTACAGGCTGCATAGTGGAGTTAATTCCACTATGCGTATACATAATATAATATCTTTATTTCTACAAGTACACATACAGGGTATACATACCTAGCTGACATCAATGACATAGAAAGCTGCTTGTCATGCAGAGTATTTCGGGCAAATTAGGTCAGTTTTGTCCCAGGATGCGACCCACACCAGTCAACTAACACCCAGGTACCCATTTTACTGATGGGGAACATAGACAACCGGTGTAAGGAAACACGCCCAATGTTTCTACCCTCGTTGGTAATTGAACCTCCGGCTTCGATTACCAATTACCTCGCCGTGTGAAGTTAGTTTAATATCTTTATTATGCACCCCATACCCATCCTGTGGGCGGTAGTCAAAAGATTACAAAGGTACATAATGGGTCCAGGGACTGGACCCCAAAGTTATGATAGCTGAACTAGTTACAAAGGTAATGAACTCCAGGTAGATCTGGTCACAATCATGGCAAGTTACAAAGGTAATGAACCAGCTAAGAGCTTTAGCCACCAGGCCACGGGGCACCGTGGTGTCCATCGTTAAGATAAGATTTTAGGTAATCGAGGGAATGTCCTCTGTTGCCGTAATGATTTAGTTTTAGGTGCAGGAGATTGTGGTCCACGGTATCAAATGCTTTCCTTAGGTCAATGAAGAGCCCCAAGAGGACATTCATTTTCATTGAGGGCTGATATATTAGTCCAAGTATTTGATTTGTATAATAGCATCATTTGTACTTTTTTTACTGTTGGATATAAAGTAGGAGTTAAATCGCTTGTGTATTTTTTCGAATATTTTAGAAAGGACACGTTTGATATAGGTCTACAGTTGTTCAAATCAGTTGGATCACCTCCTTTGAGGATCGGGGTGACCCTTCCTATCTTGAGTATGGATGGGAAGGTTGAGGACTCTACAGATTTGTTAAATAGTATTGCAATAATGGGTGACAGCACATGAGCAGCTTTTTTATATATGAATGGTGGCAACTTATCTAGATCTCCTGGCTTGTCTTTTAATGATTTAATGATGGTGGCTAAAGCTCTCGCTTCACACGGCGAGGGTCTGGGTTCGATTCCCAGCCAGAGTAGAAACATTGGATGTGTTTCTTTCCACCTGTTGTCTATGTTCCCCATCAGAAAATGGGTACCTGGGTGTTAGTCGACTGGTGTGGGTCGCATCCTGGGACACTGACCTAATTTGCCCGAAATGCTGAGCATAACGTTTACCTGGAGTTTACCTGGAGAGAGTTTCGGGGGTCAACGCCCCCGCGGCCCGGTCTGTGACCAGGCCTCCTGGTGGATCAGCGCCTGATCAACCAGGCTGTTGCTGCTGGCTGCACGCAAACCAACGTACGAGCCACAGCCCGGCTGATCAGGAACTGCCTTTAGGTGCTTGTCCAGTGCCAGCTTGAAGACTGCCAGGGGTCTGTTGGTAATCCCCCTTATGTGTGCTGGGAGGCAGTTGAACAGTCTCGGTCCCCTGACACTTATTGTATGGTCTCTTAACGTGCTAGTGACACCCCTGCTTTTCATTGGGGGGATGGTGCATCGTCTGCCAAGTCTTTTGCTTTCGTAGTGAGTGATTTTCGTGTGCAAGTTCGGTACTAGTCCCTCTAGGATTTTCCAGGTGTATATAATCATGTATCTCTCCCTCCTGCGTTCCAGGGAATACAGGTTTAGAAACCTCAAGCGCTCCCAGTAATTGAGGTGTTTTATCTCCGTTATGCGCGCCGTGAAAGTTCTCTGTACATTTTCTAGGTCGGCAATTTCACCTGCCTTGAAAGGTGCTGTTAGAGTGCAGCAATATTCCAGCCTAGATAGAACAAGTGACCTGAAGAGTGTCATCATGGGCTTGGCCTCCCTAGTTTTGAAGGTTCTCATTATCCATCCTGTCATTTTTCTAGCAGATGCGATTGATACAATGTTATGGTCCTTGAAGGTGAGATCCTCCGACATAATCACTCCCAGGTCTTTGACGTTGGTGTTTCGCTCTATTTTGTGGCCAGAATTTGTTTTGTACTCTGATGAAGATTTAATTTCCTCATGTTTACCATATCTGAGTAATTGAAATTTCTCATCGTTGAACTTCATATTGTTTTCTGCAGCCCACTGAAAGATTTGGTTGATGTCCGCCTGGAGCCTTGCAGTGTCTGCAATGGAAGACACTGTCATGCAGATTCGGGTGTCATCTGCAAAGGAAGACACGGTGCTGTGGCTGACATCCTTGTCTATGTCGGATATGAGGATGAGGAACAAGATGGGAGCTAGTACTGTGCCTTGTGGAACAGAGCTTTTCACCGTAGCTGCCTCGGACTTTACTCTGTTGACGACTACTCTCTGTGTTCTGTTAGTGAGGAAATTATAGATCCATCGACCAACTTTCTATATAGTAGTATGTCATTGATGTCAGCTAGGACTGTATACCTTGTACATGTACTTGTAGTCAATAAAGATATTATTATTATGAGTGAGACTTCAGTAGAAATAGCTGGAGCTGATTTAGAGTATTTGGGTAGTTGCTAGCTCAAATACCCAGTCTTTCGGCTGGGTATTTGAGCTAGGAATTTTGCTTGCTAGCTCTGATCCTACAGCAGAGAAGACATTAAATTTATTGGCCGTGTCTATAGGCTATAGGTAGTAGGTTGGTAGACAGCAACCGCCCAGGGAGGTACTACCGTCCTGCCAAGTGAGTGTAAAACGAAAGCCTGTAATTGTTTTACATGATGGTAGGATTGCTGGTGTCTTTTTCTGTTTCATAAACGTGCAAGATTTCAGGTACATCTTAGTATGTACTTCTACTTACACTTAGGTCACACTACACATACATGTACAAGCATATATATACATACCCCTCTGGGTTTTCTTCTATTTTTCTTTCTAGTTCTTGTTCTTATCAATTTCCTCTTATCTCCATGGGGAAGTGGAACAGAATTCTTCCTCCGTAAGCCATACGTGTCGTAAGAGGTGACTATAATGCTGGGAGCAAAGGGCTAGTAACCCCATTCTCCAGTATACATTACTAAATTTAAAAGGCACAACCTTCGTTTTTCCTTTTGGGCCACCCCACCTTGGTGGGATACGGCTGGTACATTGAAAGAAAGAAGTCTATAGGCTGTATGTGAGGTTCATCTGGTTTAGTTAAGTTTATCCCTCTGTTTCTAGACAGTTTTCTAGAGCCCAAAATTTTGAAGAGGGTTTGCCAGGTCCTCTTCATATCGCCTTTTATTTCATTAAATCTGTTTTTGTGATAAATTTGCTTTGATTTTTGTATTAGCTTTGTGAGTATTGATGTGCATTGTTTAGGCAGTTCTTTAATAATCAGGCCTAATCTAAACAGTTTTTCAAGTTGGTTCTTTTTATCAGTGGATACGAGGATACTATTTGTTAGCCATGGACTATTTAGTCTTTGCTGTGATCTGCTTTGTTTTCATTGGACAATGCATATTATAGAGGTTTTGGGTTTTATGTAAAAATGTTTTGACATCTTTGTCAATATTATTGCTGTCAGCTAGCTCTCACTGTCTATCAGTGTCACCTAGTGCTAATATTAAATTATTTACTGATGGCTTGTTGTGCAGGCGAAATGAGATCTTTCTCGAGTCTTGAGACAATTTAGATAAGTTGGTTATGAGAAAGGTGTGGTAGTGGTCTATAGTGTTGCCTGTGATTATACGTACCTGCTTGTTGTGGAGATATTGTCTTGGTACAGATATGGTCAAGTAATGAGGTGCTTGTCTCAGAGATTCTTCATGGCTTAGTTATAGAAGGTAGCAGCAAGCAGTTGTTCATAGTGTTTTTGAAATAAGCTACTGGAGTTGCTTGGATGAGGTTTATGTTGAAGTCTCCTGTAAGTATCAGGTGGTGTTTATTCAACTCTGAGTCAGTTATCATGTTTCCAGAGCTGGTGAACTATACCTAGGGGCTATACCTCAAGGGGTTCATAATTTGAAGTCTCTTCTGATGGGCTTATACAAACCTTCACCACTGTTGTATCCTACATAAAAGAATGCTGGGATTGTTGGAGTATCTAGGGGCCAATTTGCAAATTTGATTTTTAAAAGAACCATTTTATCTGAAAAAATAACTTGTTTGTATTTTCTGGATGGCTTCAGATTTTAACAAATGATACCTCTTTGGTAGAGGATGACACCTTTTGGGTTTAAGCTCTGTAATTACAAATTTAGCAATTTATTTACATTGTTAATAAACTTGGAAGTGTTGTATGCCATTCAATACCTTGAGAAAGATTCTTCAGGTCAGCTTCAAACTTTTAGTGGTGGTGATGTTTCCTCAAAGAATGCTTCACATTGATTTTGGGTTTAAGTTTTAATATGCTGATTTTATGAAACAGATTGGTTTCCTTGGAATAACTGGAGGACACCTTAACCCAAAAACACTGGTGAATCTTAAAGAATAAAAATGTCATAAATTTCAGTTTCCTAAGTGTAGGTTATTTGTATACATACTGATGTATTATATTTAGAGGCAGGTTTGAATTACTTTTGGTCTGTGTGTGTGCTAATTTTCTAATTTTTTTAAAATTTGAGAAAATTTCAAGTGGTTTTTGTATCAAAGTCAGCACAACCTAAGAATGTAACTTCAAGGCAGCATCTAACTTTCAAAGCTGGTGTATCTTAGAAGTTTTGATCTGGTTTTGTGCTGAAGAGATACTAATTTGTCATTTTTACTGAAATTGGGATATTAGTTTCTTTTCTTCTTAGCTTGAGATCAACTTTGTAGTGGGGGCTGGGCTTATGAACTACAGGGATACTTTTCTCGGATTGTGATGCAAGTGAAATACGTATCTAGTCACTACTACCATTATTATATCAAAGTGATAAACCTGTATGGATCATCCAACACAAGTAAATGGCAGATGCTCGATCCTCCTACTGCTAATTACTGCCTGGTCTTTTCCTTTTGATGCAATCTAGCCCTTATGACAGGGTGTGACACACTGCGGCTTGAGGTGGCTCGGACGTGCGACGTGTTGACACCTTTGGTTACCCACGACCCCACACCACTGTGTGCTGGCTACCTCTACAAGCTGGGTGGTGCCCACCACACTCCTGGCTCCTCCACCATTATCAGGAAGTGGCACAGACGCTGGTTTGCCCTCAAGAGAGATCACTGCCTTTATTACTACAAGTCAGAAATGGTTAGTCCAAAGTTAGCATGGTTTCTTTGGTCTTATTCTCAGATGATTATAGTAGTAAAATTGGAACCAGTATCAACATTATATCACATAATCTGGTTCTGCAGAACCAGAATCATTGCATTACATCACATAACATGGTTCTACGGAACAGTATCATTTCATTATATCACGTAACTTGGGTCTATGACACTGGTTCCATGTCTCTGTAACATATACAGAATATAATCATGTGGAAGCACTAAACCCATCAGGGTGACGCAGTGCCTGAGGAATGGGAGATAATCAGATCTGACAGAAGGAGTTGAGGGTTGCTCCAGTTCATCAGATTAACATCCCCTCAGATAGTTTCTGTAGCTGGTAGTTATACTGTCATATACTTTCAGGTTAATGTGAAATTATAAAATAATTATACTTGTAAACAAAATTAAAATTATTGTTGAACTCAAAGTAATGACCTAAGTTTTAATTACTCTGGAAGAATATTTAACATGAGGATTGGTGCATCATGTTTTTGGTGTATTTGTAAATTTCACTCAAGTTTTCTTAGCATGAACTGTACTTTAAATTGTGCTGTTTGCTGCCCCTCATTAATATAAAAGGGGATCTTTGCCTGGCTGCATCGTTTACTGGATGTTCCTTGTAAGAACTCTTAAGATCAACACTTGTACCTTCTGGCTATACAGGAGCAACATCCATTAGGTGCTGTACATCTCTTGGACTACAGCGTCCACTGCCCTGCCCGAGGTGGGCAAACCTTTCTCCTTCACCGTGGCCAAGTTAGGAGGGATGACCCTACACCTTGCTGCTCACACTGAGGATGCCCGCAACCGCTGGGGTCAGGTCATCACACAAGCAGCACTAGAAGCTGCTCAGGTTAGTCATTGAGAACTCAATTTGTCTGCTTGTACAGCCTCTCCTTGCTAAACAGTGGAGTTCCATTCCTAAGATCACGTCGGTAAATGAATTCATCACTAAGCAAGGAGCATACTATAATGATAGTGAGTTTGTGTCAACCATCTTTGATATTGTTTAATGTAAATTTATAACATTTTTAGTATGCTTTTAAATGTTTATACAGTAGTGTACTGTACATGTATATTGTAATAAACAGAAGAGAGGAAATCCACTCTATTATACATTATTTAGGTATGCATACTGATCAGAGAGCCCATCGTAAGTCTGAATCATTGGTAAACGAGTACGTCGCTAAGTGAGGAGAGGTTGTATTAGTATAGTTACCTTTATTCTAGTCACATCTAATCCACAGTCTGAAAAGGTTTAGACCAAACATGGGTCTGCCCAGGACCCCTCACTGACGGTCCAGGAGGGACCAAAGTACATAGTAAACCTTGATAAATGAGACACTTGTACAACATTTGGGTATCTTTATTCTGGAAACATTTTGCGATGCAGAGGCTTCTTCAGTCCAGTGCAGAGAAAGGTGGAAGATGAGGAGTTGATGTGTTCATTCCATCAGTCTTGACAAAAGTGCACTATATACACAAAGATGAGACTTATATACTGATGACAGATGAGGTATAGCAGTGGTATGCAGAGTCACCAGAAAACAAAACTCCGCCTACCACTGCTTCACCTCGTCTGCCATCAGTATATAAGCCCCCATCTCTGCATATATGCTGCACTTTTGTCAAGATTGATGAACTCCAGACTGAGGGACTGATTACCTTAAACTCTTCCTTAACTTTCACCTTTCTCTGCATTGGTTTGAAGAAGCCACTGCATGGCAAAACATTTCCAGAATAAAGATACTCAAATGTTGCACAAGTGTCTCTCTCATTTATCAACTTGTTGGTTTTCTAAATAATTTATTCACATTCTAAAACTTCCTCATTCAAGAAGGGTTTGGGTGTAAGCATAGTGCCTTCTGTATCACTAGAGGCTCACATCAATCGAATATCCTATGTAGTCAGTGCTTGCCTGGCAAATCTACGTTACCCTCACGAATCTCAACAAAGAGACAATTATAAAGCATATGTGTATAGGGCAAGGAGGAATAACATCTTGTAGGAGTGAGGAAGAGCCAGTTGTGAGTGTGGGGGAAGTTCGTGAGGCAGTAGGTAAAATGAAAGGGGGTAAGGCAGCCGGGATTGATGGGATAAAGATAGAAATGTTAAAAGCAGGTGGGGATATAGTTTTGGAGTGGTTGGTGCAATTATTTAATAAATGTATGGAAGAGGGTAAGGTACCTAGGGATTGCAGAGAGCATGCATAGTTCCTTTGTATAAAGGCAAAGGGGATAAAAGAGAGTGCAAAATTATAGGGGGATAAGTCTGTTGAGTGTCCCTGGTAAAGGGGTATGGTAGAGTTATAATTGAAAGAATAAGAGTAAGACGGAGAATAGGATAGAAATGAAACAAGGAGGCTATAGGAAAGGTGGGGGGTGTGTGGACCAGGTGTTTACAGTGAAACATAAAAGGGTGAACATATTTAGATAAGGCTAAAGAGGTCTTGTGGCATTTATGGATTTGGAAAAGGCTTTATGACAGGTGGGATAGGGGGGCAATGTGGCAGATGTTGCAAGTGTATGGTGTAGAGGTAGGTACTGAAAGCAGTGAAGAGTTTTTACGAGGATAGTGAGGCTCAAGTTAGAGTATGTAGGAAAGAGGGAAATTTTTTCCCAGTAAAAGTAGGCCTTAGACAAGGATGTGTGATGTCACCGTGGTTGTTTTAATATATTTATGGATGGGGTTTGTAAGAGAAGTAAATGCGAGGGTCTTGGCAAGAGGGCGTGGAGTTAAAAAATAAAGAATACCACAGAAAGTGGGAGTTGTCCACAGCTGCTCTTTGCTGATGACACTGTGCTCTTTGGGAGATTTTGGAGAGAAGTTGCAGAGATTGGTGGATGAATTTGGGAGGGTGTCAAAAGAAGAAAATTAAAGGTGAATACAGGAAAAAGAAGGTTTATTTAGGATAACAAAAAGATTAGGGGATGAAAGATGAATATCAGATTGGAGGAGAGAGTATGGAGGAGGGGAACGTATTCAGATATTTGGGAGTGGACGTGTCAGCGGATGGGTCTATGAAAGATGAGGAATCATAGAATTGATGAGGGAAAAAGGTGAGGGTGCACTTAGGGAGTCTGTGGAGACAAAGAAAATTTGTCCTTGGAGGCAAAGAGGGGAATGATGAGAGTATAGTTTTACCAACGCTCTTATATGGGTGTGGGAAACGTGGGTGGTAATGTTGCAGCGAGGGGGAAGGCTGGAGGCAGTGGGAAAATGCATGTCTGAGGGCAATGTGTGGTGTGAATAAAATGCAGAGAATTCGTAGTTTGGAAGTTAGGAGGAGGTGCGGGATTACCAAAACTGTTGTCCAGAGGGCCGGGGAAAGGGGGGTGAGGTGGTTCGGAAACATGTAGAGAGAATGGAGCGAAAAAGAAAAGACTTAAGGTGTATCAGTCTGTAGGGAAGGGGAAGGCGGGTAGGGGTTTTGGCCAGGAAAGGGTTTTTAAAGGGAGGGGTTAAAGGAGGGTTTTTTGTGCGAGGGGTTGGGCTTTCCCGCAGGCATGCGTGAGCGTGTTTGATAAAGGGGTGTAAAAAATTTTTAAAAGGGTAGCAAAATTAATGAAGGGGATTTGTGTCAACCATCTTTGAAAATGTTTAATGTAAAATTTTAACATTTTTAGTATGCTTTAAATGTTTATACAGTAGTGTATGTACATGTATATTGTAATAAAAGAAGAGAGAAAAATCCACTCTAATTATACATTATTTGGGTATGCATACTGATCAGAGACCCATCGTAAGTCTGAATCATTGGTAAACGAGTTACGTCGCTAAGTGAGGAGAGTTGTATTAAGTATAGATTACCTTTATTCTAGTCACATCTAATCACAGTCTGAAAAGGTTAGGACCAAACATGGGTCTGCCCAGGACCCCTCACTGAGGGTTTCGGAGGGACCAAGTACATAGTAACCTGGATAAATGAGACACTTGTACAACATTTGGGGATCTTGATTCCTGGAAACATTTTGCGATGCAGAGGCTTTTCGTCCAGTGCAGAGAAAGATGGAAGATGAGGAGTTGATGTGTTCATTCCATCAGTTGACAAAAGTGCACTATATACACAAAGATGAGACATATTCTGATGACAGATTGAGGTATTAGCAGTGTTTATGCAAGTTCACCAGAAAACAAAACTCCGTTCCACTGGTCACCTCGTCTGCCTTCAGTAAAAGGCCCCATCTCTGCAAATATGGCTGCACTTTTGTCAAGATTGATGAACTCCAGACGGGAGGAAACTGATTACCTTAAACTCTTCTAATTTAAACCTTTCTCTGCATTGGGTTTGAAGAAGCCACTGCATGGCAAAACATTTCCAGAATAAAGATACTCAAATGTTGCACAAGTGTCTCATTTATCAACTTGTTGGTTTTCTAAATAATTTATTCACATTCTAAAACTTCCTCATTCAAGGAAGGTTTGGGTGTAAGCATAGTGCCTTCTGTATCACTAGAGGCTCACATCAATCGAATATCCTATGTAGTCAGTGCTTGCCTGGCAAATCTACGTTGCCCTCACGAATCTCAACAAAGAGACAATTATAAAGCATATGTTAAGCTTATCTTGGAGTAGACAGCACCAATATGGAACCCACACCTGAGGGAGCATGTTAAGAAACTGGAGAAAGTGCAAAAAATGCAACAAGACTAGTCTCACAGATAAAGGGTATGAGCTACGAGGAAATGCTAAAGAAACTGCATCTCATTACTGTACTTTGGTTGATAGAGGACCAAAGGAGATATAATAACAGCATACAAAATACTTAAAGGAATTAATAGGGCAGATAGGGAAAAGCACTGTTATGATATGCACTCTAGAGCAGGCAATTATTCCTTAATGTAATAAGTAATGATGATGATAATAGAAATATCACTATTGATATGTACGACTAATAATAGTGATTTTGCTACTACCAGTATTAATAATACCATACCATGTCATATTATTGAGGTAGTAGGCTGGTAGGCAGCAGCAACCACCCAGGGAGGTACTACCATCCTGCCAAGTGTATGTGAAACAGAAGCCTATAATTGTTTTACATGATGGTAGGCTTGCTAGTGTCTTTTCTCTGTCTCATAAACATGCAAGATTTCAGGTACGTCTTGCTACTTTTACTTACACTTAGGTCACACTACACATACATGTACAAGTGTATGTATACACACCCCTCTGGGTTTTCTTCTATTTTCTTTCTAGTTCTTGTTCTTGTTTATTTCCTCTTATCTCCATGGGGAAGTGGAACAGAATTCTTCCTCCATAAGCCATGTGTGTCATAAGAGGCGACTAAAATGCCGGGAGCATTGGCTAGTAACTCCTCCTCCTGTATATATTACTAAATTTCAAAGGAGAATTTTCATTTTTTCTTTTGGGCCACCCTACCTCGGTGGGATACAGTCAACTTGTTGAAAGAAGAAGAAGAAGAAGAAGAAGACATGTATTATTAATAGATACAGTATTAATGCTACTACCTCAGCAAAGACTAACACTACCATTAAGAACAATAACAAAAACAATAATATTATTAAAATAGCTAATCACTTTGTGTCATATTGGTCTCTCAATCATATCCATTCAAAATCTTTCTCCTTTAGAGGGATGAACTGATGGAAATCTCCTCCCGTCGTATACAACAGCCTCCAGCATCCATAGCGTCTCCAGACTGCTTTGGTTTCCTGCATAAGCTTGGTGCTCGGTGGCACCAGTGGAAGCGGCGCTACTGTGTGCTCAAGGATGCCTGCCTCTACCTCTACCACGACACCGAGGCTACGCAAGCCATAGGTAAATCACACTTCATAAAATGGGGTCTCAGAGAATCTTTAGGAGAGTATTTTGATATGTAGTTAATATTTTAATTGTATCGCTAATTAAAGATGATTATTCTAACTTGGTATGATAGTATTTATTTGTTGTTTTATTTATGTTTGTAACTTTGATTGGTAATCATGCCTTTGTTTTTACTTTTTTTTTTTTTCAACAAGTCCACTGTCTCCCAGCAAGGCAGGGTGATCCAAAAAGAAAGAAAATCCCCAAAAAGAAAATACTTTCATCATTCAACACTTTCACTTCACTCATACATAATCACTGTTTTTGCAGAGGGTGCCCAGATACAACAGTTTAGAAGCATATATCCCTCCAAACTACCAATATCCCAAACCCTTCCTTTAAAGTACAGGCATTGTACTTCCCATTTCCAATACTCAAGTCCAACTGTATAAAAATAATTGGTTTACCTGAATCCCTTCACTAAATATTGCCCTGCTCTCACTCGAACAGCTTGTCAGGTCCCAAAAACGTTCATCTCCATTCACTCCTATCTAACACGCTCATGCATACTTGCTGGAAGTCCAAGCCCCTCCCTCACAAAACCTCTTTTACTCCCTCCCTCCAACCTTTTCGAGGACGACCCCTACCCCGCATTCCTTCCCCTACAGATTTATATATATGCTCTCCATGTCATTCTATGATGCATTCTCTCTAAATGAACAAACCACCTCAACAACCCCTCTTCAGCCCTCTGACTAATACTTTTATTAACTCCACACCTCCTAATTTCCACACTCTGAATTTTCTGCATGATATTTACACCACACATTGCCCTTAGACAGGACATCTCCACTGCCTCCAACCACCTCCTCACTGCAGCATTTATAACCCAAGCTTCACACCCATTTAAGAGAGTTGGTACCAACATACTTTCATACATTCAGTTCTTTGCCTCCATAGATAGATAACATTTTTTGTCTCCACATATACCTCAACACACCACTCACCATTTTTCCTTCATCAATTCTATGGTGGTTAACCTCATCCTTCATAAACCCATCCACTGACACGTCAACTCCCAAATATCTGAAAACATTTACTTCTTCCATACTCCCTCTCTCCAATGTGATATCCAGTTTTTCTTTATCTAAATCATTTGAAACCCTCATCAACTTACTCTTATCTATGTTCACTTTCAACTCTCCACCTTTACACCCCTCCCAAACTCGTCCACAAACCTTTGCAACTTTTCTTTAGAATCACCCATAAGCACAGTATCATCAGCAAAGAGTAACTGTGTCAACTCCCATTTTGTATTTGATTCCCCATAATTTAATTCCACCCCTCTCCCGAACACCCTAGCATTTACTTCTTTTGCATCCCCATCTATAAATATATTAAACAACCATGGTGACATTACACATCCCTGTCTAAGACCTACTTTTACAGGGAAGTAGTCTCCCTCTCTTCTACACACCCTAACCTGAGCCTCACCATCCTCATAAAAACTCTTTACAGCATTTAGTAACTTAACACCTATTCCATATACTTGCAACATCTGCCACATTGCTCCTCTATCCTTTTCTAAATCCATAAATGCAATAAAAACTTCCCTACCCTTAAATACTGTTCACATATATGCTTCAATGTAAACACTTGATCTACACATCCCCTATCCACTCCAAAGCCTCCTTGTTCATCTGCAATCCTACTCTCTGTCTTACCTCTAATTCTTTCAATAATAACCCTACCGTACACTTTTCCTGGTATACTCGGTAAACTTATTCCCCTATAATTTTTACAATCTCTTTTGTCCCCCTTCCCTTTATATAAAGAAACTATACATGCTCTCCGCCAGTCCCTAGGTACCTTCCCCTCTTTCATATATGTATTTATTAAATAAAAATACCAACCACTCCAACACTATATCCCCCCTTGCTTTTAACATCTCTGTCATGATCCCGTCAGTTCCAGCTGCTTTACTCCCTTTGATTCGACGTAATACCTCACGCACCTCCCCCATACTCGCATCCTGCTCTTCTTCACCCCTAAAAGATGTTATACCTCCCTGGCCAGTGCATGAAATTACTTCCTCCCTTTCTTCATCGACATTTAACCCTTTGACTGTCGCAGCCCCAAATTCTGAAGTGTCTCCTGGTGTCGCAAAATATTTGAAAAAAAAAAATTATTTAATGAAATGATAGAATCTTTTCCCGATGATAATGACACCAAAAGTACGAAATTTGATGGAGAACTTGTGCAATTACGCTCTCGCAAAGTTAGTGACCTTGGCGACATTTATGCATCAGCGATTTCGCCCACTTTGAGCCCTATTTTCGGCCAATTCCATTGTTCCAGTCCCCCAAACTCATAGCTATTTCTTTAGAACTCCATTTGTTCGATTGATTGCGTACATGAAACTGCCCATTTACCGATTTCAACTACCCAATAACGTGGTCAGAAATTGGCAATTTGGCCAATTTCATGCAAATTAAATATGTCAATTTCAAAATAGGGTCCAGAATGAACAATGCAATTATTCCTGGCACTAAAATAACATTTTCTCTATTCATCAGTCATGTCTGCAGGCCCCTGTTATAATACACTATTGCTTTCTATTTTGAATTTTTATTCACACAAAAAATAGAAGATTTACTGTTATGTATTATTATTATAACCAAAAAGAAGCGCTAAGCCACAAGGACTATACAGCTACTGTTATGTAGACTACTGCAATATTGTAATAATTGTATAAATAACTTCAGTCCATTTGTGACTGCATATTAGAATGGCTAGTTAGACATGTATTGGACAATGACGTAATTTGTTTACTCTTGAACGTTGGCAAAAAACGAACATTTCTGCCACTTTGAGCTCCATTTCAAGATCCTTTTCATAGTAAAACCAGTCAAAATCACTTCTATTTCTATAATACGTTTTCCATTCTATCAAATGAGACCAAGAAAACAAGAATACAACCATAAATACTATAGGAAAATACACCTCAAAGTCAGCGTTTTAATCCAAAAACACGGTAAGAGGTTTTTTCTCATTATGCACCGAGTGCTGCAGGATTTTTTTTATACTGTGCACAGTGACTACACAGACCCATTCTCTCACATGTGGGCCTACCAGCTTTCTCCTTGATTTGAAACCGCTAGAATTTTTGAATATATATACGTCAAACACATTGGCTCGTAAGACGTATATATATGACCAAAACAGTCAAAGGGTTAAAAGTTCCTCAAAGTATTCCTGCCATCTGCCCAATACCTCCAGTTCCCCATCTACTAACTCTTCTACTCTGTTTTTAACTGACAAATCCATTTGTTCCCTAGGCTTTCTTAACTTGTTTATCTTGCTCCAAAATTTTTTCTTCATCAAAATTTCTTGACAAGGCCTCTCCAACTCTATCATCTGCTCTCCTTTTGCACTCTCTCACCACTCTTCACCTTTCTTTTACTCTCCATATACTCTGCTCTTCTTATAACACTTCTGCTTTGTAAAAACCTCGCATAAGCTACATTTTTCTCTTTTATCACACTCTTTACTTTATCATTCCACTAATCACTCCTCTTTCCTCCTGCACCCACCCTCCTGTAGCCACAAACTTCTACCCCACATTCTAATACTGCATTTTTAAAAATATTCCAACCCTCTTCAATCCCCCCCACTACTCATGCTTGCATTAGCCCACCTTTCTGCCAATAGTTGCTTATATCTCACCCTAACTTCCTCCTCCCTTAGTTTATACACTTTTACCTCTCTCTTACTTATTGTTTCCTGTTTCCTTTTGTCCCATCTACCTCTTACTGTAACTGTAGCTACAACTAAATTATGATCCGATATATCAGTTGCCCCTCTATAAACATGTACTGTACATCCTACTACTTTCATTACATGCTGTATCATACCTTGTATACTTATTTATCCTCTTTTTCATAAAATATGTGTTACTTATTACCAAATCCCTTTCAACACATAACTCAATTAAAGGCTCCCCATTTTCATGTATTCCTTGTGCCTCAGATTTATCTACTACTCCCTCCACAACATTTTTACCCACTTTAGCATTGAAATCCCCAACCACAAGTACTCCCAAAATCTCTCTCCTCTACACTTCTCTCTTCTCCAGGTGCATAACCCACTTTTCACATCCAACCCTTATTTTACTCCACATAATCCTTGAATTAATACATTTATATTCCCTCTTTTCCTGCCATAACTTATCCTTCAATATTATTGCTACTCCCTCTTTAGCTCTAACCCTATTTGAAACCCCTGACCTAATCCCATTTGTTTCTCCCCACTGAAACTCTCCCACCCCCTTCAGCTTTGTTTCACTTAAAGCCAGGACATCCAGCTTCTTATTCCTAACATCCACAATCATCTCTTTCTTATCATTCACACAATATCCACACATATTCAAACATCCCACTTTGACGGTTTTCTTCTTTTTCTTTTTAGAAGGCTATACATTGTATGGGAAGAGGGGTTACTAGCCCATTGTTTCTGGCATTTTAGTTGACTTTTACAACATGCATGGCTTACGGAGGAAAGATTCTTATTCCACTTCCCCATGGATATTAAAGGAAAAGCAATAAGAACAAGAACTATTAAGGTAAAATCAAAGAAAACTCAGATGAGTGTGTATACATAAACGTGTACATGTATGTGTAGTGTGACCTAAGTGTGAGTAGAAGTAGCAAGATGTACCTGAAATCTTGCATGATTATGAGACAGAAAAAAAGACACCACCAAACCTACCATCATGTAAAATGTTTACAGGCTTTCGTTTTACACTCACTTGGCAGCAGCCACCCCTCTCTCGATGGTTGCTGTCTACCAACCTACTAAAAGCTGTTTCAAAACAGAGGGGTTAACTTAACAAAACCAGAAGAACCTCTCCTCCAGCCACCAGATACTGCCAACAAACTTAATGTCTTTTTCTCGACCATAGAAGCAAAGCTAGCAAGCAAAATTCCAACTCAAACATTCAGCCAAAAGACTACCTC